TGTTGTGGCATGAATCCAAATGCTGGAAACTCCATTTCCATCATTACAGTGTTGGGCTATGGAACATGGTGGGCGGTATTAGGTCATGAGGACTCTGTCCTGGGAATAAATTAGCACTGTTATAAGAAGGTGAGTTTAGGGGCTAGGGAGAAGGCTCAGCACTTAACAGCACTTATACTCTTCCAGAGGACTTGAGTGTGGTCCCCAGCACTGACATTTCAAGAGACTCACAACTGTCTGTAACTCCAGCTTCAGTGACTATGACACCCTCTTCTGGTCTCTGAGGGCACTGACACACACATGCATGTACACACACACACACACACAGAGTTAAAAATAATAAATATTTTTAATATTTGACACTGACTGCAGCCACCTGGGAAGAGGGAACCTCAAATGGGGAGTTTCTCAGATTGGACTGGCCTGTGGCCTTGTCTGTGAGGCATTTTCTTCCTCACTGGTTGATGCAGAAGGGCCCAGCCAACTGTGGGTTACACCATCCCTGGACAGGTAGGCCTAGGCTATTGGCTGTATGGGAGACTCAGTGGCTGGGTGGTCCAGGGGAAGCAAGCCAGTAAGTAGTGTTCCTCTGCAGTTTCTGCCTCCGTTTCTGCTTCAGGTACCAGCCTTGAGCTCCTGCCTTGAGCTCCTACAGTCCTCAGTGATGGACTGTAGCCTATAAAATGATATAAATCCTTTCCTCCACAAGTGCTTTGGTGTTGTGTTTTATCACCGCAACAGAGAAGTAAAGGAGGACAGCCTCCTTTTACCTATTTGCTTTTCTGCCTTTTAGCTGTGTGAGGATGGAGTTTCCTCTCTGAAGGAAGCACCATTCAAGACATCATCTTGACATCTGGATCTTCAAACCTGCCAGCACCTTGACCTTGGATTTCCAAACCTCCATAATTGGGACTGGACACATTCCTGTTCTTGGTAAACTACTCAGTCTCAGATCTTCTATAATACCATCACTATCAATAGTTTTAAATTAAGTTCTACATACACAGAACCTGCTTATCCAGCTATCTACACTCCTCTCACCCCCTGAGAATGGTGACACACAAAGCAAATGGGATTAAGAAACAGAAGCTGGGGATGTAGCTTAGATGGTAGAGTGCTTTCCTGGCATGCAGGAAGCCCTGGTTTCCCTCCCTGGTATCATATAAACTAGGTGTGGTGATGCACCCCTATAATTCCAGCAAGGTCATCCTCAGCTTATAGCAGGCTGGAGGCCAGCTTGAGCTACATAAGAACTTGGCAAAATAAAAGAAGGAAGGAAGGAAGGAAGGAAGGAAGAAAAGAAATGAAGGGAAAAGAAACAAGCTGAGAATGGAACTCTGTGGCATGTATCTGCAGTCCCAGCTACTGTGGAAGCTGAGTCCAGAGGGTCACTTGAGCCAAGGAATCCCAGGCCAGCCTGGGAACATAGCAAGACCCTATCTCAAAGAAACAATAGAAGAAATGGACCTAGCTTCTGACTTTCTCTTGTATAGGTCTTCTGATCTACAGAATTCTACAGAAACAATCATTCCTGTAAATTAGACAGCTAGATGGAAGCTGAGTTGTTTATTTGTACAGCACAACATGGTTCCACACAGGAAATGTAACTTCAAACCCTGTCTCATTAAACGTAGATGTGGGAAATATAGCGATGATGCTCAGTAGGCAGAACACACTCATTCTTTGGTACCTCTCTTTGTATTTGGACCCCTGGAAACACCAGCATCATTGGCTGCTCATTGGAAATGTTGATTTTCTGTTTCCCTGGTGCAAGTAATTGGAGTCTTCCCAATTGGGAATGGGTAAGAGGCCTTCCTAGAGACCTGTATATTTGCACTAAGAACTAGGTGAATGTTCTTATTGTCCTTCAATGCATTCACATTTTATCACTAGAGAGGCAGGCCACCAAGAAGTTATTGAAGGGTGCACAGCCAGAAAAGGCTGTAGGGCTTGTTTTTTATATAGATGGCCTTAAGTTTCCAGGAGGGTTATATAAAAGTTCTCTTGGCCACATGCAGTTCAATACAGTTCACTAGAATACTTTAGGATTTGAAGGGGAAACTTAGAAATAATATTTTTAACTGAAGGTTTTTTTCTGCCTATTGTATTCTCACCAACCCATCTGGAATTAGGTGAATCAGTCAGCTGCCTTGAGAAGGAACCATCAAGACAGTAAGACATGCGTGAGATTTACTTGGGGGGAGAGGGTGCACTGTGAGGAAGAGGAGAAGAAGCCAGAGATGGTGACCTTGTGGAGAGAGGGAAGAGGGGTAGAGTAAGAGTCTTGACTTTGGCACAAATCTAAGAAGATTCAGCCAGGCCAAATGCGAATCTTGAGCCCATCAGAGGAGTCCTCCATCTCTCTCCAGAACAGGTCTGTATTGGTATGTTTTTTGTGTTCAGTCACTGGCTAGAAATAGCCAGTGGGAAGCCTGGCCTTAGCAGGATGCAATGTTGAATTCAGAATGCAGCAACTGGGGCTGTATGTCAATTAAACTCGTTGAAGAGAGAAATCTGAGTGGTGTCATGATCACATCTCCTCCACAGGAGACAGTAGGGATGGACAAGGACCCCAAGAGTCTAACTGGATACCATGATGCCATGACTACCAGACATAGGACACAGCTAAATGAAACCCACCACTGTCTCCACTGCAGGCAAATTGCCAGGGTGGCTGTCTGCTACATCACAGTGTCCCCTTTATGAGGAACCAAGAGAAACAGCCCCTGAAGCTGAGAGCCAGGCATAGCTATTCCTCTTGGACAACTGGTGGGTTCTCTCTCTGTAGACATGTGGATTTCTCAGCTGATATCCTCTGTGTTGCTACTGCTAGGGTGCTAAGGCCCAGATTTGGAGTCTACCTCTAACTATGGGGAGTCTTCTTTTTCAACTATTTTACTGTATTTTCCCTGATTCCTTTCGTCAATACTGCTATTTTTTTGTGAACAATATATGCTCCTTTCTTAAATATGGCAAGAAATGTTTGCCTTAAGCCAAGCTGGTACCACTTAAAGCTAAATATAAGAGATTTTTTAATGCTTCAGTTTATTCTTTTTATGAGAACCTTACATACCAATGAATTCTTTGAATCTCAATGCTGTTCTAGTAGAAATAGGATTTAAGGTATGTGTAATGTTAAAGTTTCTAGTAACCACAATTTTTAAACTAAAAATAGGTAAACAATTTAAATCTTTAGAGGTCTGTATTATTTTATTTTTACATTGCATTTTGATTTGGATCAGCTAAACTGAAAGAGTCCATTACTACACATGGACAGTAGTTCCTGTGTTGTACACCAGAGGACTTAAACACAAAAACCATGAACCAGAATCAGAAGTCTTTAACCTGTGTTCACATTGACTTGACTAAAGATATCTGAGCTCCTGGAGATTTCTGAGGCAAACCTTAGGGATGAGTTCTACATTATGACAGGCATAATGACAGTGAAACTTCTGATTGGGGGAATTTTTATGGTAGGTAGAGGGTGCTATATGCACCTGAGTGCAGGTACCCAATGAGGCCAGAAGAGGGCATCACATCCCCTGGAGCTAGAGTTATAAACAATTGTGAGCTGCCCATAATGAGTGCTGGGAATTGAACCCAGGTCCTCTAAAAGAACAGTACAGGTTCTTAACCCCAGAATCATCTCTCTAGCCCCAGATTTCTGGAATTTTTAAGCTTCTCTGTATTACTTTTTCTTCACTGGTCCACCCACCCTTGGCTGTTATGAGTTATGTATATGCAGTAAGGGAAAAAAAGGGAATATAGAGATATACATTTTTGTATACTCTGCACTTCTTGCAGGCTCTGTGTGGTAGAGTACTTTAAATTACTTGGAAAATTAAAATGAAAAATTAAAGCATTTACAAGTACTCAAGGGCCAGAGAGATGGCTCAGAAGGCAAAGTGTTTGCAGTTTAAGTCTGATGACCTGAGTTCTTGCCCCAGATCCCACATAAAGGTGGAAGGTGAGAAGGACCATTTATACAGGGATTCTTAACCTGAGGTTTTGTAGCTCCTTGGTGTATAGATAAAACTGCAAAGGTAATATATTCCTAAACTTGGATGGGAAAAAAAGATTACAAGTGCATTTTGACTACCCTCTAAGCAAAACATAGCACTACCTTCCCTTGTGAATACAGGCAACCATTCACAGTAGCTTTAGAAGAAGCTGTCAGTTTGTGTCAATAGAGGTCACAGACACTTTTATGTTTATGGTCTTTCTGAAATTACAGTAGTGGTAATACCTGCTGCTAGGGCTTATTGGAGAACATTAAACAGGCACATACTATGTTATTAATGTATGGCTTTAAATTTCAGTATAATTCTTTTGCTTTGTGATACCATGTCTTACATTAGGCACAAAGAATTACTACAATACGAGGTCAGTAGGCGTCACAAGACTGCCATGACCCACAAAAAAGTTAAGAAACCCTAAATTTTAGTCTATTTCTTTGGTCTAAAAAGCCAGCCACCTGCATAGATGATGCATAGGTGAGCCGGTTCCCCAAATCTCCTATATTTTTGTGCATATGACTCTGGTCCCTCTTTATCCATTAACTTATATGCTGTGCTCACCATCACCTTGTACCAGGCACCTATCGTGCGCAGATCCTGCTCTGGTCCCTACGGAGGCACACTAAAGATGATAGGCGGGGTTTGTAGTGTGTTTATTCCATGCACACCTGAACCTCCTAGATGTCAGGTCGTGACACCTACATCTAGGTCAAGTCTAGTCCAGAAAGCAACATCAGGATCAACTAGGGCTTGTCAGGACTGCAAATCCCCAGGTGGGATTCCCTGATGTTCTGAAAGAGAAACTCCGGGGTGTTGGAGAGAGCTTCCCATCGCCAGA